TGCTCCTCTTCAACACCTTCTGGTAGTGCACATTACTTACAGATGTGAGTAGAATTATATAATGGAAGATAAAAATATAGAACTATTTTTCACTGTGACCACTGAAAGTTAGATTTTTAATCAGTTCACAGTTTTATTTTAATTCTGAAAATGTGAAAAAAGAATCTTTTAGAAATGTAAAATCTTTCACTCAGAAAAGTGCATAAATTTTGTTTCTATTCAGAAAAGAAGATAAATTCGGTTTATCTTATCAGTCCTTTATTATCACCACTTTATTAATGAATCCAAAGTTCAAGCAAGATTATATAGAATTGGATAAACAGATCGCTATAGTTATTGTGATGATAATTTGGATGAATTTTTACTTTCTTGGAGCTAGAAAATATAGTTCATTAATCTGTTATCCATTTACATCTGTCTCGCTTTCAGAATTGGAAATATGAACTTCACAACAAAGAAACTTTGATTTCCTTTAATTTTAATTATTGCAAATCTTTTGAATGATTATTAAATGTAATGAAAAAGGAAAATAATCATCAGTATTTATTGGTCTTTACAAAGCTTATCTTATCTTCATAATTTGATAATCATTTGAAAATGTGATAGCTTAAAAAAGTTTCTAACTTCAGCAAATATTTTGCTGCACTGATCGAATAATCATAAAGAAGAAATTTACAAAACTTTAAACATAATACAGAATGCAGAAAACTGTCTTATTACAGAGAAAACGACGACTCATTACAAAGATACACAAGAAAAAAGAATGAAAGATAAAAAAAACTTGGCATATTTTTGAATTTGAATATACATGGATGTATTCTGCTTTTTTATATTGATATGAAAAAAATAGAACAATAAGATAAATAAGCGACAAAGTATTAATTGCTTGAAATGATAAAATAATATTGTGCTTTAGCCAACAGTGCTCCAATCGCTGTTTATCAACCAAATACAACAAGCAGTTTTTTTTTTCTTTTTTGCCACTTCTGAAATAATAACTTAAATACTGAGTAAAATCAGAATGATTCATTAATAGTGATTGATCAAATATTTTGAAAGAATAGTCATTCATTAATCAAATATTTTTATTTAGTTTAGTGACTTGTTGGTAGCTTTACTTATTCCTTACATATTAAATTAATTTTATCATTATTATTCAAATTAAATGTGATAATGGAAATGCATATTTCATTTAGCTAGCACAAAATTACTTTTCAGATTTCAAATTTTATTCGATTTTAAGGTGAGTTGCTGTAGACGCGAATGCAATTCTGAAGCATACAGCGGTCGAAATTTTTCTTTGAATCGGAAGATGGAGCTTGAAGCTCGAACTGATTTGCTTCTTCTTCCTACAAATCAAAATAATGGGAAAATGTGAACCTTTTTTAGATTTTTTTTTCAACTTAGAATTAATTGTTAATTACAGAATGCTTTAATAATCTCTATACATTTATTATCAATAACCTCAAATTCAACGCTTAAAAATTCGCCCTTAGCATATGGCAGTGGAAAAAATGATTCATGAGAAATTTTAACAGCTTTAATGGCATCTTGATGACTACATCGTGTGCAAAGTGATAAGTAACGAGCTAAAATCAGTCCCGAAATCGTCAAACCATCTGTATCACAAGCAATGCACACACGTGACTCTGAAATTCGCATTCCAAAGTAAGAAATTTTCATTTTTTCAATTCAACGTTTTGTTTAAGATATCAATGAGAAAGCAAATTACGCTGTGATTGAGAGGGCAATTAGAATTACTGATATAAATCAGTCTAGACTAATTTTGGATTTAACTAATTATAGCAAATTGACAGAATTTGTTGCTTTTCGTTAAATTATATTAATGACTTATTTCAATTTACTAGCCACAAATTAAATAAAAATTAATGAATTAATAATCTAACGTACCTTTACATCGCCATTTATGCACTTGAGCAAAAACATCAATCTCAATAGAAAGAACTGATGGATTCTGAATAACGATCATTGTATCTTCATCAAAAAGTGGAAGAATCTTTCGCAAATCAAAGCCAAAATCGAAAAATTCCGAATATACCACAAGACAATCAATCTGTCAAAAACTATGCTTAATTGATCTATTCTTAATTAATGTAAGCAATCATAATAGATTTTAGTTACAAAACCTAATTACATATAGTTAGGTTTTGTAATACCTTGTGTTATGTATTCTAAAAATTTGAATTTGTTAAGACGTATTTTATTCCCAAAGTAAAATTTATGCATAAACATAATCATCTATATTTTTCAATTTCTTTTTTTGTTAGCTTTGTTAGCAGAAGCAAATTTTAGTAAAAATCTAACATGCAAATAATACTTCAAGTGCCTACAAATTACAATTATAAGTAATATTGATGTAAAAACGGACATCTTTTTCTTTCAACATGTGAAAATCATTATGGATGAGTGATCGAAGTGAAGCAATGTAAAGATCTTGAAGTACAATTTTTACGTCAACTTTTACTGGTGGTATAGCAGCAAAAGTTGAATATGCTTTTTCTTTCCATTCTTCTAAATCCATACATTTTGTATCACTGACAACTTCTCGGATTTTTTTTGTTGGCGTTGGCTAAAAAACTTATCCATATATTTCAATTATCACTTTATGAAATAATTTCAAAATATTATGATAATGTATGATTAATTTAAATATTACTTTTAATAACAATATTAATTAGATTCGGATTTATACCAGTAATTTACACATGCAATAATTTTAAGTTCTGATTGCTATTACTCAACCTAAGCTTTATTTTTGCATGAATAAATTAATAAAAAATTACTAGCAATTTAAAATATCTCGCATTCAGTCATTTTAAAAAATTAAAAGCATAAAAATTTTAAATGAATTTTTTCAAATTTAATTGACTTATCTATTATCACATTATCACAAAATTATTGCATATTAATCACCTGAATTTTTTTATTTTTTACAAAAAATGAGTATTTGTGTACATGAAATAATTTTAAAAAATTAAATGAAACTTTTTTAAAACTTACTGTTCCATCAGGTAATTTGTACATAATATAGCAGAAAATACGATCTTCTTCAGCCATTGTTTCATCTAAAAATTTTAGAGCAAAATGTTTACGGCCAGCTCGTTCCTTCTCAACATCGCTTGACTGCAATTTTTGATACATTTAAAATTATGGAAAATAAAAATAGTTTTTGCAAAAAATTTTATTAATATCAACAATTTTTTTATATTTTATTAACAAAATTTCAATTTTTTATTTTTTATCGTTTTAATTAATATTTTGACTAAATTTCTGCATAATTTATATAAATTATAATTGTAAACTATTTGGAAACTTTTATCAACTTTAGATAAAGGCAAACAATTTTTCTCAGAACATCAGGTTTATTGCTACCTCAAGTTGCTGCTTGTACAAATTATATGCAACCCCAATGAGTTGAATTGGATTCGAAGTTCCAACCGCACCTACGCCAACTTCCACACATCGGTCAATTAAATTATCATCAATTCGTTCACTCTCGTTTGTCAGAGATTGTCGAACTTCGCGTTTTATTATGCTTAAGCGACATTTCTAAAAAATATTCAAAAGTTTGCCATAAAAATGTAAAGTAATGGCATAAATTTTATGAATAATTTATTTTTGATTTCAGTAAGCATTTTTGCACTACTTGACCTCTAACCTTGTCCTACATCGCTCTACTTCTTGTATGCATCATCACAGCAACCACTGAACTATAATGATGGAAATGTTTCAATTAAACTTTTCTACAAATTATTTTTAAATATTTTTTAAGGCACGTTGAAATGTAATTAATTATTTTTGAAGATATTTAAATTTTGTCAATAACATTTGAAAAAAATCATAGAAATGTAACAACCAGAGATGGTGGAAAAACAAAATGATTAAGTTGTCGCATTTTAAGGACAATTCGACTGGATGTTGTCACCTGGAAACGATATCATAGAATACATACTAGCATACTTTTGCTATCATGAAAAATAATCAGAAATTAGCTTTCGAATTTGAGTTCAGATTCAACGTCACACACTAATTTTTAATTTTTGTCAAATCTTATTATTTTACAACAAAATTTAGAAAAAAAAGAATATACTTCAACACTTATTTTATTATCTTATTTTAATTGTATACGATAAGTATATTAAGAATAGTAAAAGTTTAATCTTTGCATGAAACGTGGACTTGAAAGTGTATTATGGTTAAAATGTTATGTTTTAAGCTATGAATCTGAGAAGAGTTTGTACAATGAAATTGATTCAATTTCTGAAATAAAAAGTTAAAGTCAGATTAAAAGTTTCAAATTAAAACTTAATGCAAGAAATTTACTCAATTGATTTATGTTTACAAAAAATAAGTATACAAAATGTAATGCAGATAAGTAATGGAAGTAATAGTTTGTTAAGACTAAGCAAAGAATCTTTTGAGTATATGGTAGATATCAAGTTGAGCAAAGATAATACTATGTATGGAGGGATTCTATACGCATTTCATTTATTTATTCTTCAAAATATCCCACAGCAATTGTCTATACATGCATAAATGTAAGAATCTACTCAAATACAGCCAATTTCTCTACATATTATTTAATACTGTCTACAATCTAAAAAATCAAGTAATAATACCATCAAAGTAGAGCATTATCTCTAACACCCATTAAATTTAGTCAATAATTATTGGCAATAACAGATGATGATATGACCTAGAAAGTTACACTACGCTTGATTCTTATCAAGTAACTCCATTAGTGATTTCCCTCATTCCCTCCTCCATTGTGCAATACAAGAGACAAGTATATCCCTCTCTTACTCGAACACTATTTTTATGAGAAAAAGTTGAAGTTACTTGAATTAAGCACGTTTAAGACAAACTACACTGACACTGATAACTAAAAAATGAGGTGATGATGCAACTAAAGCAAATTCCTCCTCAACCTTTTCACAAAGCTGAAGCAATGAACCTATACTTAGGTACAGGACAGTTTGCAAAGACTGACGACTTTCATATCAGAAAGGACCTCTGAAACTCAGGAAGCCGTATCCCCACTCTCTATCCCAAACTAATAATTGTGCTAGCTACTATATGCCATTTGATCTCTCCTTCACAATTTATCCCAAATGCTACAGTAGTATTCCTGGAACGTGATAAAAATTAGCGATCATGTTTTGTTCCATCTTTATCTGATACAAATATCAAATCAAGAAAATAAATGTACAAACTACAAACAAAATCATATGTTATCAAAAGAAAACCAATACAACAATAACTTCCACTGAATTATAAAGGCTTAAGAGATAT